AAATTTTGTTAAACTTATAAATTTTAATTCGAACTCATTCAAACCTTTTGCCTGGTTTGCTGTGAAACTGGTTGGCCGGTTATTTCGTATTCTATCAAAGCCTTTTGTACGTCATTTTATTAACGTTATATTTTTCTTGTTCCTTTGAATGCCATGTTGATGTTTGCTTTGTGTCAAGCTGGCATGACATCAGTGTGGTTAAGTAGACGAGAATGATGTATTATAAAAGAGAGAAAAAAACGCCAAATCAGAGTTAATGGCGATTTCAGGAGCTGTCCGTTATTTTTAAGGCTAAGGACGAAATCAATTGACTATGGAATTTTTAAAACCCATTGAAAAAGACATTAGAAATTACTGACTTGTAATCATTTTTACCGATAAATTTAAATGTCCCAAAGCTGAGTCAAAATCACCCGACAAAATCTTTGGCAGACAGTGTCAACGAAAAAAAAGAGTTTATTCGACCAATATTTGATTGTTTAGATATATTTTAACATCTGTTATGATTATTCAAATTGTTGATCCCCTATGGAGTAGGTACCAAAGGAATGGGCCAATATTGTCCATTTCGTATCGGACTTAAATAAATATGATATAAATATTGCGACGTGACAGGTTTGGACTATATCGACTACTTGCTTCAATTTTTATAATTTTTATAAAATATGTCATCATTTTTAGAAAATGTTAAAATGTGCGTGAGGCACCAGATATGGTCGATCGAAGTATTACATTTTTACACTTCATCCAATACAGATATAAATATGGGTATGGGCAAAATTACAAGAAAATCGAAATTTATATCCAATGTTATGCGAGATCATAAATTTCATATTTATCCCAGGTTACAGGTTGAGAGAAATATTCAGATATGGTAAATTGTAAAGAATCGATTACTTGTTTCGCAAGTTATGACAGTATTGAAATCGGCGACCCTTTGTGAGTGAGGTACCGAAATGGGTTTGCAGATATATATATATCATCTTGAGACCAAAATGTTTGTGTGTTTGAATTTTGTAGAGAGTTGGAAGCTTATTCTGCGTTTTGTTTTTCAAAATCTTAAACCCTAGGTGGGGGAGGTACCAGGATAAATGATCAGATCTCTACAATTTTTATAACAGATCTTGAGTTGATAGAAATATTGAGATGTGTCAAGTTTCAATGGAATCGACATTTTATGAGCTTCTTGTATATTCAAAATTTTGACCCTTCTGTGGGGGAGGTACTAGAAGGAGTGGATTGATACACACCAGAACATGGGTTTTCAAAAATATTGTGACTTGAAGAAAATCGGAAATTTCCATCACATTTTATAAAAGTTATAAATATTCAAAATTTTGATCCTTTGTGGGGGAGGTACTTGATGGAGTGGATCGATATGTTCCAATTCCACACCAGAAAATGGGTTTTTAAAAATATTGTGACTTGAAGATAATCGGAAACTTCCATCACATTTTATAAAAGTTATAAATATTCAAAATTTTGACCCTTTGTGGGGGAGGTACTTGATGGAGTGGACCATTTTCACACCTGACCTAGCGTTGATGCAAATATTGGGATTCGCAAAGTTGAAGCAAAATCTTTCTGTGCAGAAAAGTATTTTCTTTGAAGATATTACCCATCTCCGAGTTCGATCTAAGTTTGATATGTCCACAACAATCCACATCTCTCCAACCTAGACACCAACAATGATCCCAAATTAGTACCATTTAGTACGTTTCGAATAATTATGGTAAGCATTTGCAAAATCGGCATATCTTAACCACAAACACCAACAAAGACCTCTATGTAAATCCTCAGAATTTTTAACCCCATATCTACACATAATACCCAAATTAGTACCACTTAGTACTTTTCGAAAAATTATAGTACACATTTCTAAAACCACCTCCATATCTCAACACAAGATACCAACAGAGGCCTCAATATCAATTTTAGGGTTCCAGCCAGTACAAAATTTAGTACCATTTAGAAACTTTTCATACAAATGTAGGACGCATTTACAAGTCATTAGCAATCTAAATATCAAATATGAGAATGATATTTCTATTCCTTCATCCAATACCAATTATAGTACGATTTAGTACTTTTCGTACAATTATAGTACACATTTCCAAAAGTACCTCCATATCTCAATTCCTGATATCAACAGGTTCCTCAATATCCACTTTGAGGATTTCAATCATATGCCTTCACCCAGTACCAAATATCGGAATATAGGCTATATTTCCCAACCCAATCCCAAATTTAATACTATTTAGTACCTTTTTGAACAAATATTGTACACTTGTACTTTGAACCTCCGAATCTCCACCTCAGATGTCGTCAGCAATTTAAATTTAAAAATGTTTCCTCTATTCCTTCACCCAATAACAAATATAGTACCATTCAGTATTCATTGTACATGTATGGTACACTTTTCCACTTTTCCAAACCAACTGCATATCTTAATTCCTGATTTCAACAGGGTCTTCAATATCCACTTGGAGGATTTCCGTCCTTTCCTCAATACAAAAAGGGCCACCCAATACAAAATATCAGGATTTCAGCTTTATTCCCTCATCCAATATCAAATTTAGTACTATTTAGTGCTTTTTGTAAAAATACAGCATGCATTTCCAAACCCACCTCCGCCTCAGATGCCATCAGCAATTTAAATATTAAAATTGACAATTTTACCTCTATCCCTTCACAGCGACCCTTATAGCAAATTTTAAGATTTCAGACATTTTAAGATATCAGTTCACCCAATACCAAATTGTAGCAAATATAGTACTATGTAGTACTTTTCGCCAAAAACCGCCTCTTTTTAAAAAAAAACTACAACAAAAGGGACCCTAGATTACCAGCTTCTTACGTTCGCCCAAAACAGCCATATTTAGTACCATTTATTACAGTTCCAGCTCCTAACATAAACCCCATTTCCAAGAATTTGTTCTCATAACAAATTTCAAGAATTTTACCACCATCCGTTGACATAATTCCAAATGTTAACAAATTTAGTGCATATTAGTACTTTTGTTACAGGTATTGTTAGAATCTCGAAAAAGCCTTTAGTTTGTCTATACGACACAACATCAAAGACTCACACTCCAAATTTCAGATTTAAGCATTTTTTCACTCTCAAAATTTTCCAAATATTTAGACCTTTTTAGTTCGTATTTCAAAGTCCCCAGCCATGTGATAACCAAACCGCACTAAGTTGATCCAAATGTCTAATTTAAGACTACCAACTTAACTCCTCTTCAAAATACGAAGTTTAGTACCATTTGGTTCTTTTTAGAACGTATTTGTAAAACCACCTCCAAATCTCAAACCTACATACTAACAGTGATCCTAATGCCAAATTTCAGATTTCACGATGTACCAATTTTACGTTTTCGTACGGTCGCTGAAGGCATTTCCAAACCCAACTACTTCAACCAAAACCCAATTGTATCGAATTTAGCACTATTTAGTACAGTTGGTTGCACTTAGTACACATTTCCAAAAAACACCTACCACCACTTCCCAAACTAAATTGTTGAACCTAATGTCTAGATTTTAGTTGTGATCATTCACAATATTCCAAAGGGTACGACATTTAGTGCCTTTTAGTATTTTAAGTGCATTTTTACACCTTTTTTTATACCCTACATCACAAGTTGGTCAGGGTATTATGACTTTTTGCATTTGTTTGTAAAAGGCAAAAGGAAACGAGATAGACCCATAGTTCCTTTTGATGATCTGCATAGAATCACATTCTGAGTCGGTTTATGCATGTCCGTCCGTCCGTCCGTCATGTCCATGTATTTTTGTAAACAAAGTACAGTTCGCATTTATTGCCCTATCCAGATGAAATTTTGCATAAATCATTTGTTTGGCCCAGGGACGAACCCTATTGAAATTGGAGATAATCGGTCGAAATTTAGATATAGCTCCCATATATATCTTCGTCCGATTTGCCTTTTATTGTGCACCAAACGTGTAATATTTGCCCAAATGGGATGAAATTTGGCACGTACGACAGAATTGAGTCTAGAAGCTAGTATGTCAAATTTGGTGAAGAACGGTACAGATATAGCTGTAGCTCCCATATATATTTTTCATCCGATTTGTTGTATTTGTTACCCACAGCCGTAATATGCACTGCGTAACAACGATATTCAGGGAAATATATCAAATACAGCTCAGAAATATCTTTGCCATATTTTATCGAGATCGGTTCCGATTTGGATATAGCTCCCATATATATTTTTATCCGATTTCAAATTAATTGTGCACCAAATGGGCAATACAAGTCCGAATTTAAAAGATACAAATGCTTCGGCATATTTAGTTCTTTGAACTTTAAATTATAATTATAATCATAGCGTGTATGATTGAATTCTCCAATAAAAGCTTTTAATTGTTATGCGGAGCTCTACTTAATTAGCAAAGTGATGTAGGGTATCATAAAGTCGGCCCCGTCCGACTTTAAGACTTTTTTTACTGGTTTGTAATTCGAATAATTTTTGATTTAATTCATAACATTTTATTTACAATTCGAGAATTCCATTTGTGATTCGAATTATTTTAGTTGTAATTTGATTATTCAAATATTCCATTTAATTCAAAAATTTCCATTTGTATTTCGTATTATTCCATTTGTAATTCGAATACGTCCACTTGTTATTCACAATATTCCACCTATAATTCGAATGATTCCAATTAAAATTCGAATGTTTCCATTTATAATTCGAAAAATGATTGTGAGTGCCTCAAAGTATGCTATAATATTGCTTAATATAAATAGTAAAATATTCACTTTACACATGTCTTTAACATGCTATGTAATTGGGCCTTAACTCGTCATTGTCTCATTGTTTCTCTGAGAGCCAAAAAAATCAGCTGTCCCCTGAACCTGAGCTTTATGTCTCAAATATGGAAAAAATCGCCAAAATGGCCATACTTGCATTTGGCCACTGTCAAGTTTAGTACACCACAAATGGCTATAAATACGGCAACAGAATTGAACTGTCAGTTCAGTTTCTATCCAACGTTTCCTGACAGCGGTCGGTTGCCAATAACGCAAGTACGAATAGCAAGTTCCTTCGACGGAACACAACAACCCTTAGAGAGAAATACTCGTGGCTTTTGTTACTACTAAACATGTGAAAGTGTCTGAGTGTGTGCGCTTGTGTGTGTGTGTATGTTTGCATATGAGTGTGTGCGTGTGTCTGTCTGCCTGCCTGTTTATTGTTGTCATAAAAGTTTGTTGGTTTGAGGAATGATATGCATACGATGTTGATGATGACAAGCTTTTGTTAATGAATTTTGTTCTTTTTTCTTGTTCTCTTCATTTTTGTTCTACGGCAGATTTCAAAGACATTTTTGATATTTCGGCAATTCGTGCAGGGAAACGTTGAACGGGAAATTCTACTCAATTGCGATAAATAATATTAAACATTTCAGTGACGCGTAACATTTAGACGAGTGAAACCGCGGTTCCAGAATTAAATCGTTGTTGCGATAAGTTCTGAACGTAACGCTTGAACGATTTCGGTTGAATTGAAACGTGTCCATAGAACCGAGGACACATCAACCCTTAGCCACCAAATCCGGCAACTACAACAACCTGACAAACCATTTCTCTGACAAACAGCTCGCTCGTAAACAGTTGTTTGCCAGAGTTTGCAATTCCAAGGCAAAAGGAAAAAACGCGAAAACCGGCAAATTTTCGTGTTCACAACTTTTGCATTCAAGGCTGCTGAAGTGACGGGACCCCGACCTACGAAGTTTTTTTTTTCGAACGTGTAACACATAACGTTAACGGCAAATAACGTTATTGTGTTCTGGAATATTACAAACAGAATTAGCACTGTTTTGTAATTATAAAAAGAAGGAGAGAGAAGGAACGAGAGAGAGAGAGAGAGCACGCGGGAGAGCAGCAGCCTGTTATTCCACAACCATAACACATTGAGTACAACATTTGGAATACTCTTTTACCAAACTTCAGCAACTACCCGGCAAACAAGTAGTAGCATAGACACTTGTTACCATCGTTTTGTATATATAGCTTGGCGGTATATATATACATACGTATAAACGTAAATAAAAAACAAACAAAAAAAAAAAACGCGAATTTAACCAGTTTTTTGACATTTGCATTCGTTACGTTTTCAAGTAATTATAACGTAAACGTAAGACATTTACCAGATTTTTAAAATTCCGACATTGGTATATATAACTTGGCGGATTATATATACTAAAAAAAAGAAATAAATAAATAAAATACTAATTTTTTGGACACTTACGTTCAGAACGTTTTAATAAAATCGTAACGTTGACGTAAACCAATCAACCGTTATCGGCTTAATAAACGATTGTATATATTTCTTGGCGGTTTATATATACAAATCAAATAAATTCAACTAATTTTGGACACTTACGTTCTATACGTAACGTAAACGTAAGATAAATACCCGATTTTTACAATTAAAAAAAAAAACCTAAAAGAGCGTATATAACTTGGCGGTTTATATACAACTTAAGAAAAAAATAAAAAAAAATTGGCAAAATTTACCTTCGATATCTTCCAACAAAATCGTAACGTAAACGTAACAGTAATTACCGGAATTGACATTTTAAGATTAATACCAGATTTTGACAAGTGAAACATCAGTTTATATAACTTGGCGGTTTATATAAACACACTTAAAAATAAAAAATACCCGATTTTGGACCCTCACGTTCAATACGTTTTCATTTGAACGTAACGTAAACGTAAGCCAATCAACCGATATTGACACAATTAACGATTGTATATATTTCTTGGCGGTTTATATATACAAATCAAGCAAATTCAACTAATTTTGGACACTTACGCTCCATACGTAACTGTAACGTAAACGTAAGATAATTACCTGATATTTACAATATAAAAAAAAACACAAAACAGTGTATTATATAACTTGGCGGTTTATATACAACTAAAGAAAAATAAATAAATTTGACAAAAATTTACGTTCGATATCTTTCAAAAAAAAAAAAAAATCGTAACGTAAACGTAACAGTAATTACCGGAATTGACATTTTAAGATTAATACCAGATTTTGACAAGTGAAACATTAGTTTATATAACTTGGCGGTTTATATACAACTAAAGAAAAATAAAAAAAAAATCGACAAAATTTACGTTCGATACCTTTCAACAAAATCGTAACGTAAACGTAAGAGTAATTATCGGAATTGACACCTTAAGATTAACTTGGCTATTAAAATAACAACTATAACGGAAATTAATTCAAAATTGGATATTTGCCTACAATACGTTTTTTAAGAGACGTAAGCCTAGAATTAATACCAGATTTTGAAATAAACACAACTGGGTGTATATAACTTGGCGGTTTATATATACATCAAAAGTAAAAAAAAAAACCTAATTTGAAAAATCTACGATTCTTAAATCGTAATCGTAATTCTGCAGTAGAAGTGAAATTAATACCGGAATTGACATCGAAACCCACCAACATACAAAGTGGCGATTCATACGTATCGGATATAAAGTGACCCTTGTTCCGTAACTGTAACGTTAACGTGATACAATCAACCGATTTCGACCGAAACCCACATCAGTGTAGATAACTTGGCGGTTTATATACATCTAAGGTGAATTTACCCAATTTTGGATATTTTATGTTTAATGCATAATAACATAACTGCAACGTAAACATAACGTAAATACCGGATTTTTAATTTAAACATAATAACAGTGATTTATAATTGTGTGTGTGTAAACACCAATATACACAACAAATAACATAAATCAAACACAATTTTGTCCACTTGTGTAAAATTGCAGTTATTTAACGTAACATAACTGCAACGCAAACGCAAGACAATTACTGGATTTTGACGAAACGTGGATCAATATCAAATTTAAAGTCCTTCGAAAAGTGTTAACAGCCAACCAGCCATTGGAAATTGGAAAAAAATACCACGTAACTGGAAATCAAAACCTACGTAACTGGAAAGTAAACGGAGCCCAAATAATCAACTAAAATACGCAAAACTCGATCAGTGTTTAAAAAATATATATTAAATAAATTAAATATATATTAAAACACATTTCTTGTAACAGCATAAATTTTTGATATATATGTTACGTTTCCGTAAAGTACACGGTGAACCAGTGTTTTGACTCTAAACGAGACTCTTAAATTTGAAATAAAACTCTAGTGTTAAAATCTGAAAAAATTGGACCAATGAACTACAGTGTAAAAGTGAAAAACAGATTTTAACAACAAATAAAGAAAAGATCCCAAAAACAACGAAAAAAAAGCTACCAGTCTCATTGAAAGTCCTTCGAAAAGTGTTAAAATCCACACCAAATGCAGACTGGCCAAGTGCAGCAGTAGAAACAACACGGGATAGATCCATTTGTAACGTGAACGTAACATAAAAATTCTATTGTTTCAAACAACAACAAAAAAAAAGTCCATCAGTCTCATTAAAAGTCCTTCGAAAAGTGTTAAAATTCACACCAAATGCAGGCTGGTCGAGGGCAACAATAGAAACATCACCGGATAGATCTATTTGCATCTAAACGTAACGTAAACGTAAAATATTAAACCAATTGTGACCACTCAAAGTATCGAAAAATACTTGAGAAAAAAAGTCCTTTTAAACGATTTAAAAGGCTAAACGAATTCTGACGTATCAATAAGAACAGCAGAAAATCCTTCAAAAAAGTGATATAAAAATCCGGACTCTGCCTGATCTTTTTCATCAACACCAACAACACTCATCATTAAGTCCTTCGTGATAGTGTTGTAGAGGAGATCACTCACCGTGTTTTTAAGAAAAAGTCCTTCAAAACCAAATTTAAAACAAAAGTAAATCTAAACTCTGCCTAGACCCATCACTTCAAAGTCCTTCAAGTTAAAGTGATAACAAGAAAATTGCTCTCTCACATCTATTCGAATTGTTAAGTCGAATAATAAAACAAATACAAAATTGTCAAGTCCTTCTCAAAGTGCTAAAATAAACAAGATCTACTCAATCAAAAGTAAGTAATTTTTGCAAAAGTGATATCCTACACCACTTCGAGAATATAACTCAGGCAGCACCGATTTAAAAGGCATTGTGTGTTAAAAAATTGGAGATGAGTACAATTTTTGGCTTTAAAAAAAATGCAAGTGTGTCAATTAAAAAAAAAGACTGACAAGATTGAATCTTTATATTTCTGCTCCAATAAAAAGAAAAAAAGTATTTTGTGATGAATAAAATAAGTGAATTTTAAATTAAAATTAAATGTCGCCCTGATAATTAATTTGTGCTTAAATATTTAAAAATAATAATAATTTGATTGAATCAGGACAAGTGGCATATTATATACTTGAATATTGCTAATAAACTTAAAGTATTACATCCCAATAAAATTAGTTTTGAAAAAAACCTTGATTTATATTTGACATCCAGAATTATTTTCGAAAAGGTCACCAGATATTAGTGTTAAATTTGTGTGCAAGTCCTTCTCTGTCCTTCTTTAAGTAAATGAGCAACAAATATATATACAAAGGCCAATTCTTTTCATAAAAAGTCACCAATTTGTTGCTAGAGAGTTTTGCGAATAGTGAAGTCCTCAAAAATATTTTCATAAAAAAATAATTTTGAATAGGGCAGTCTTAAAAAATCTACAATTTTGCCGAAAAATTAATGCATATTCTTAAAAAAGTTCGTGATTCTCGTTCGAGAAGATTGGAAAAATATTTCTAGAAAAATCACGTTTTTTCGAGGAATTAATAAAAACAAGAAAAAAGTATCGGTCGGTTTTGTGTTTTGAAAGAATGGGCTTTTTTGGGGGAGATACCAGAAGGAGAGGACCGATATATCCCATCTAAACAACAGACCTTGTGTTAGCAAAAAAATATTGTTTTGGTTATGCAAAACTTTGACCCTTTGTGGGGGAGGAATGGTCCGATCTCTACCGTCTTTATAACAGATCCTGTGTTGACTGAAATATTCCGACGTGCCAAGTCTAAATGGAATCGGATGTTAATTTCGTGTTTTATGAGCTTAATAAATATTTAAAATTTCGGCCTTTGGTGGGAGAGGTATCAGAAGGGGTGAACCGATATATTCCGTCTTAATACCAGACGTTAGGTTCATAAAAATATTAGGATGTGTGAAATATAAAGATAAACGGAATCATCATATTTTATAAGAGTTATAATTATTCAACATTTTGACCCTTTGTGGGAGAGACACTTAATTGTGTGGACCGATATTGTCCATTTTCGCACCTGACCTACAACTGACGCAAATATTAGGATTTGCAAAGTTCGAGCAAAATCGGATTATTGCCTCTCTTTCTGTCCAGAAAATATTTTTTTTTGTTTTGAAAATTTTGACTTTTGGTAGGGGTGGTACCAGAAGGAGTAGACCGTAGATGTATCTCACATTACCACCAGACCTTGCGTAATAAAAATATTGGGATGTGTGAAATTTGAAGACAATCGGACTATTAAATCACATTTTATAAGAGTTATAATTATTCAACATTTTGACCTTTTGTGGGAGAGACACTTGATGGTGTGGACCGATATTTGCAAAGTTGGAGCAAAATCGTATTATTCTTTCTCTTTCTGTGCAAAAAATATTTTTTTGAAAATTTCGACATTTGTGGGCGAGGTACAAGAAAGAGCGGACCGATATATTCTATATTAACACCAGACCTTAGGTTGATAAAAATATTGGGATGTGTGAAATTTGAAGACAATCGGACTTTCACATCACATTTTATAAGAGTTGTAATTATTCAAAATTTTGACTCTTTTGCTCTAACGCAAATATTAGGATTTGCAAAGTTGGAGCAAATTCAGATCATCGTTTCTCTATCTGTGCAAAAAATATTTTTTTGAAAATTTCGAATTTTTGTGGTGGAGGAGGTTTGGACCGATATATTCCATCTTAACACCAGGTACAACACATTTTATGAGAGTTGTAATTATTCAAAATTTTAACCATTTGTGGGGGAGGTACTTGATGGAGTGGACCGATATTGTCCATTTTCACACCTGATCTAGCACTGATGCAAATATTTGGATTTGCAAAGTTGGAGCAAAATCGGTTTATCCTTTCTCTTTCTGTGCAAAAAATATATATTTTGAAAATTTCGACCTTTTGTGGGGGAGGTACCAGAAGGAATGGACCGATATTGCCCATCTCCGAACTCGATCTAAGTTTGACAAAAATATTAAGATGTACCAAGTTTGCACCAAATAGGATACTCCCTTCGAGAGCCAAAATATGGCTCTGGAGGTGCTTAGGTTATAGTCTTAAAACATCCATAATGTTTAAAAGCAAGTCTCTGAAAAGTTCCGAAGTCCTCACAAAATTGCGATTTTGCGATCCTAAATTCTTAAAATTGTTTTTTTTTTCTTGAAACATTTATGAATTTATCATGGAGGGTATTTTTCTGAGTCATTCCATTTGTAACACCTCCAAACACCTTGGGGACCCCACAAGGCATTAAAAATAAGGTATATCGGTTCATAAACAGTAGCCACATCAAATATCGTTTTTGCGGTCGAATGAACTATATAAATGGGATATATATATGAGATTTATATCCAAAACTCAGCCTATATCGATAAAATTTGGCAAAGATATTTCTGAAATGCATATATGTAAATGTAACAAATTTTCCCGAATGTCGTTGTTGGTGGGTGCATATTATGGCTGTTGGGGAAAAATATAACAAATCGAATAGAGAATATATATTAAAGCTATAGCTATATTTAAACTGATTTTTACCAAATTTGACACACTTACTTTGAGGCTCAATTTGGATCGATTATCTCTATTCGGACTAATATCACACATTTGGTGCACAATTAAAAGCTATATCTAAATTTGGATCAATTATCTCCAGTTGGGACCATGGTGCTTGTCCTCGACCCAAACAAATAATTTGTGCAAAATTTACTCTGCATGGGGCGATAAAAGAGATCTGTACTTTGTTTACAAAAATACATGGTTGGACGGACAGACTGACATGCGATCATCAAAAGAAACTATGGGTCTACCTCGTTTCCTTTTTCAGTAACAAAAACAGTAAGGAAAAGTCAGAGTCGGACGTTGCCGACTACAGGGTTGCCCATATTCGACGGACCCATCTGGCAACGCCATAACTTTTGACAGAGATGTCACATCGCTTAATGACATACCGCGTTTGAAGCGTCAGTCCTAGCAGATTTTTACAATGGACCAATACACGCGCTCTGAAATAGTTGAAATTTACATTCAACAGAAGAATTCAATTGTGAAAACTCAACGTGCTTTTAAAACATTAAGAAATGTGAGAAGTGCGCCTTCTAAGAACACCATTAAGCGTTTATACGAAAAATTTTCGACTGGTAAGGCTCTTTCTAATCCGAAGAGGCCATATAAATGTCGACCAAGGCGATCGGCCGAGAATATCGCTGCCGTACGAGTCAGGGTTGAGAGGTCCCTAAGAACATCCCAAAAACGCCGTTCTCAGCAGTTGGGCATGGCTCGGTCCACTTTACAACGGATTATTCGCATTGATTAGCATTTGTTCCCGTACAAAATTCAATTGACGTATAGAATGTTGCCTGCGGACAAGTCTCGTCGATTGGAATGGGCCCAAAGGTCCGTCGAATATGGGCAACCCTGTATGTGATATGCATATTTAGTGAAGCTCCCGTAATAAAAGAATTTATTTGAAGTAGATCATACCACTTATCACCACTTGTCTTTAGAGCAGTTCTAGTTTGTTTTCAGAGGGAACAAATATGTATATGGGACCCAAAATCGTCAAAATACCGAATATAGGGAGGTACTGATAAATGGGGCCTATACGAAGACCTGGACACGAAGACAATTTTCTGTCACAGACTGTAGTTCCCACTACGAACTCTAAATGCGTGATATGAAACTACTCCGGTGAATAACGACGCTATAATCATCAAAATACCGAATATTGGATGGTACCGTTATGTGGGGGCTATATGAAGACGTCAACCTGCACAGACAATTTTCTATCATAGGCTGTAGTATTCATTACGAACTTTAAATACCAAATTTGAAACAATTCCGCTGAATAATGTCGCTGAAATCATCAAAATACCGAATATCGGGAGGTTCCGTTATATGAAAAATAAAAATGTGTGCAAAATTGTAGCCTTCTATCTCAATTCGTTCGGAAGATAGCGTGGTTACAATAGACAGACAGACGGACATCGCTAAGTCGACCTAGAATTTTACGCTGATCAAGAATATATATACTTTGTTGGGTCTGAGATGAGTATTTCGAGGAGTTACAAACGGAATGACAAAATTAATATACCCTCCATAGTATGGTGGAGGGTATAAAATTATGTATCGGAGCCAAGTTCCATAAAATAGAAACCTACGTCCCGAAATGCATTCAATTTGGGCTTATATTAGCCATTATTTGCACAAAAAACCTGAAATCGGATTAAGGATATATATGGGAGCTATATCCAAATCTGAACCGATCTTGATAAAATTTGACAGAGGCATTTCTGGGTTGTACCTAAAATCTGGTGTCAAATATCATTGTTGTCGAATGCATATTACGAATGTGAGGGACTTAAGCAAAAAATCGGATGGAACATATATATGGGAGCTATGGCTACATGTGAATCGACTTTCACCAAATTTGATGTACTTGCTTCTAGATGGAATTCGGTTGGATGTGCCAAAATTTAGGTAATTGACCGAAATCGGTTGAAGATGTATGTGGAAGCTATATCTAAATTTAAACCGATTCTCCCCAAATTCAATAGGGTTCGTCCTTGGGCCAAACAAATATTTCTTTTTTTTTTTTTTTATTTTTTGTCATGTCTTTGATCACATGCATTTTTTTAAATTTGACTTACAATTTTGAATTGTAAGTTTTCTAAATTGTTACACCCCACAACACTACGTTTTAAGGGTATTATATACATGTCGAAATTATCGTCGGATCCTCACAAGATTTTGCATGGGGGTAAGGTTAGGGTCAGAATTAAAGCCCATTGTTCTTAAGATGTAAATTTAAGGGTTCAAATGGACTAAAAAATTTAAAATTTGGGTAAAATCTGGGCAGGCCTCTTTGACATTATTTCAAAAACGAAATCTTACAAATGGATTTGGACATAAGGGACTTCGAACATATTGTAGTGCTTGGACCGGCACGACTATAGCCTTTGGTTACTTGTTTATTTATTTTTTTGAAAATTTAAACACATATATAATGAGAATGATGTAGCCACAGCCTTTCAAAAGCAGAAACAAGCTTTGATTAAATACCCGTCGATATAATCTAAAAATATACTTAAATACATAAGAATACGGGTTTTCTGAAAAGGATCAGTTAAAATTGATTAAAACATAATTTTCTGAGCGATATTTTTGTTGAATATTGGTATGTCAAAAATTTCATCTTGAAGTAATTTTGCTATGGCTTTGAAGTGAAAACAAAAAGAATATTAACGGAATAGTGTTAGCAGGGCGACATTTTTTCACAAAAACTTTCCTCATTCGATTGTTTATTGTTGGATTAGACAGTTGGTGTTGCTTGATCTGTTGATCTTCTATTTTAGAATATTACTAAAACTAAAATCTCAGTGGTGTAGGATATATAACAATTTTTAAAATAATTTTTAAACTACGTATTTTATTTTCCCAATTTTCCCAATTAACAGCTTAAATTAGCCAATACCACGACACAGCTAATTAACTCTGCCTTTTGAAAATCAAACTTGTTTTTCAAAGAATATCAAAAATCAAACAAATAAAGCCAAACAAAGCCCATTTTATACCATTGGAAGTATTATACACAAGATTAATACTTCTAAAAGATAAATACAATCTTCGAAAAGCCCAAAAGTATCCGAGTTGGAAAAAAAATCGATTGCCTTCGATTACGATCCAAACAACCTCTTAAGCTGAAAAGTGGTCACATCGCCTATAAGCCGAGGATATCCAACCAAAATTCATGAAAGTTTGAGGATTGTTGGAAAACAAAACAATCTGAAGTCAACTTGAAGCCATTGATAAACGGACTCAACCCAGAACCCATAACCGTGTTCTGTCGAATAATCGGACAAATCAGTTTTTTGCAATATTTCGGAATATTTGCTAAGACTTTAAAATGTCGTTTTTAAATGTGTTAAATGTGAGTAGAATGTATTTTAAATTATTTGTATTTATACTCCACACCACTACGAGGTCAAGAAAACTAAAATAATAAAAATTCCGTGATTTAATTTCCACAGGAAAACTTTAAGTCAGCTCGGCTTAATAAGGATCTCCAAAGCAAAACTTCAATTCAGCCGAGTTGGATAAGAATTACCATAGGAAATCTTCAGTCGGTCTTAATAAGGATTTCCAAAGGAAATCTTCAGCCTGGCTGAATAAGGATTTCCATAGGAAATAGGATTTCCATAGGAAATGTTCAGCCCGGCTGAATAAGGATTTCCATAGGAAATCTTCAGCCAGGCTGAATGAGGATTTCCATAGGAAATCTTCAGCCAGTCTGAATAAGTATTTCCATTGGAAATCTTCAGCCAGTCTGAATAAGGATTTCCATAGGAAATCTTCAGCCATGTTGAACGAGGATTTCAATAGAAAAACTTCAGCCTGGCTGAATAAGGATTTCCATAGGAAATCTTCAGCCAGGCTGAATAAGGATTTCCATAGGAAATCTCCAGCCAGGCTGAATAAGGATTCCCATAGGAAATCTTTAGAAAAGCTGAATAAGGATTTCCATAGGAAATCTTCAGCCTGGCTGAATAAGGATTTCCATAGAAAAACTTCAGCCTGGCTGAATAAGGATTTCCATAGGAAATTTTCAGCCTGGCTGAATAAGAATTTCCATAGAAAAACTTCAGCCTGGCTGAATAAGGATTTCCATAGGAAATTTTCAGCCTCGCTAAATAAGGATTTCCATAGGAAATTTTCAGCCTCGCTAAATAAGGATTTCCATAGGAAATCTTCAGCCTGGCTGAATAAGGATTTCCATAGGAAATCTTCAGCCTGGCTGAATAAGGATTTCCATAGGAAATCTTCAGGATTAGGAAATCTTCAGTCTGGCTTAATAAGGATTTCCATGGGAAATTTTCAGCCTGGCTGAATAAGGATTTCTATAGGAAATCTTCAGCCAGGCTGTATATGAATTGCCATAGGAATTCTTCGGCCAGGCTGAATGAGGATTTTCCTATGAAATATTTCCTTACAAAGTTTTTTTTTTTAATTAGCAAAGACAATTGAACCTTTTAGCTGTAGTGGTGTGGAGTATCAGATAATATCAAATAACAATTACAATTTTATTAATTTTTTCCTTTTTTTTTTCTCCAGCCGAACGATGGCATTGCTACATCATCATTAGCGTAAGCTAAACCAAAAAAAAAAAAAAAGTTTTAATTTTCAGCCAAATCCACATATTTTATCAAATACCTTGTTGTGATATCCTTCGGAAATGGAGTACAATCCAAATTATATGCTTACTCCTACACAGGAGCAGGCGAGGGCAATGACGGAATATAATTCCCTCTATGGATGGCATCCGAAATGTAAGCTAACCGTTTTCCCAATTCTTAAAAAGGACAGATACGACTCAAAAAAAAAATAATAATAAATAATTTATTAAAATGACGGACGCCCTTTTTTCAAATTAAGGACTTGACCTCTTACTAATAATTTTTCTCATATCTAGCATACACATATCTAACAAATCTACGAAGATCGTAATAATTAAACTGTTATAACACCCATAGTTTTTCTTCAAAAAATTATGGGACTATTAAATCGTTGCACAATATCTACGAATAACTATAAATTTTAAAATATTTAAATTATTATTTTAAACAAGCATATCGAAGTTAAAGTAGACTGAAAAACTTAGGATACTGACAATTTTTTTTTGGGAATATTTTTAAATAATTAATACAAATCACCATTAAAATTTGCCTTTCGAATTTCGATATTTTCACAATATCTGAATAAGTCATAGACATGATTTTATTCTGAGATTGTGAATATTTCGAAGATTGAAGGGTCGAATTTTAAATAAAATCTTTCTTTGATTAAAAAAAACTACTATTTTTATTATCGAACATTCTTGATTCTTAAAGAATAACTTTTATGCGAACGCCTGTCTCAAGACAGCGTTGAATACTGAAATCTTTAGCTGTACTCCCAGTGAGTATAAAAAAAATAGACTTGGGTTTGAAACGATTTTTCTTCTAATAAAAAATAATTGTTACAAATGAAAATTAAGATTAGCCTTTCCTTCTACGATATTTTCACAATTTGAATTTTTCGCAGATTGAAAGGTTGAAATTTTATTTAGAGAAAAATATGAAATATCAATCTTTATACCTCTTGAATTTCAAATAATTTATATTCTAAGAGATCTTATCTCTTATGACATCGTTGGATACAGAAGTTCTGATATGGGCTCTCAGTGAGCAAAATTTCTTCATAAAAATTAATGAAATACTCTTCGAAAATTTTAAATTGGTATCTATAATTTTCTTATCTCAAACTTGAAACTTAAAATATTCCTCTAAAATACAAAAAAAAAAAAAAAAAATATGGAGATTAACTTTAACACTGCGTTATCCAATAATTTGCCCACTTGCGCTCTCGGTGAGAAGAAATCTTGTGCATAATTACAATCGAAGTATTAAAAACCATACCCCCACAATTACGAAATGCGAGAGCTTAAATGCGTGTTTCTCTCTCTTTCTACACACTCGGGTCTATCATATAACAATAAAAAAATGAGAGAGTTGCTCTCCCTATTATCAGATTTGAGACATTTAATACTGCAATATCTAATCTAGAAATTTTGATGCAGACAAATACTGAAATATTACCAAAATCGATGGAATAACTCTTCATTCATATATGCGATACAAATATCATGAAATAATACGGTCCAAAGAATATATAAAATAATTGTTTAAAAATATGAAATGAAATCGTTAGAGCTATATCGTATAAGTAAAAATGTTTCTCAATAAAAAGAGAACTAATATAGTAGGTTTAAATAGACAAAAGAGCGAAAATAAGAGGACATGATAGGAATGAAGAGAAAAATATTAAAGAAGTTTTGGAATTTATGAAAATCATACATAATTTCCAAAATTAGGGAATTTCATAGCCCATTTAGGGTTCAAATAGTTCCATAAATTGGGAAAATTTTCGAAGAATCGTTAAACAAGAGAACATTGGTAATCGATATTACCAAATATGATAGGCAAAAATGGGAACAAATAATGAGAATTTAGAGAAAAATATGAAATAAATTTTGAAATTAATGAATATCTTACATAATTTTCAAAAATCTAGGATTTTGAGGTTAAATGGGGAAAATAATGAGAGTATAGAGAAAAATATGAAATATATTTTGAAATTAATGAAAATCGTACATAATTCCCAAAAATATAGGAAATTAAATTAAATATTTTTCGGTGTTTCCATTAACTTTTTTTTAAAACTTTGTCTATCTGATTTGATTTCACAAGAACCATATTTTTCCAGAACGTCTTATTGCTTATTATAGGTTCCACTCCCCAAAATCTGAAGGGCTGAGGAAATTCCAATAATTCTCAGAGTGAAAAAGAGATTCGGTTAAAAGAGTGCCCGCGGGCACTTGTTGTGTATTCCGTCAGAGATCACGTTTTATTTATTATTGTTCGAAGTGATACATAACTCAAGGACATTCTTAAAATGTACGATATGTGATTTGTCGCAGTAAATCCTAACCGGGGCTTAAATATTTCTAGTAATCAACTGCAATGAGAGAGAAACATCGAAAAATGCAGCAAGAAGGCACAACTTGGTAATTTTGCAGTAATTCTTTACATTGAGTCTTTTGCATGCGTTTTCCAAGGTGATATCCGTCACCGATCAGCATCCGTCAACTCAATGCCCGTGGGCATTCAAAGAGAACGCGCATACACAACTTAAGTAAAGTTAATACCATAAACTCTCTATTTAGCACAATGTATTACGAGAGAGGGAGAGAGAGAGAGAAAAGGAATTAACTCTCGCAGTGATCTTGTCTGTGAGAGTGAACAGAAATCAAAGCTATTACATTTTAAGTAGTTGCCAGATTTTCGGATACTTTGTTGTTCCCATACTTTTTAAATTGTGACATAGTAAAAGAGAGATTTTTTAATTCTCACTAAGGGAACTGATTTGCCCACAAATTACGAGAAAGAAAACTATATGACATTTTTTCCAAATCAACATTTTAGCCAATCAGAGCATGACAACAATTCACATAATTTTTACACAGCCAAATTTATCTTCATTTGAGTCTCTCGTTGTGGCAAGAATATATTTAATAAAACAGCTGGCTTAATTACTTATAAACCTCCTAAAAGTATACTTCATACATTAAAATGTATCATAACACAACTTTGGAACTGACATATAGATGGCGTTAGTTGAATTATCAAAAGAACGTCTTTGCAAGGATCAACATTAGAAAAATTTCTTTAAGCCACCAATTAGCCAGAAAAATAATACAGCGTACGTCAAATTAGTGAATTTGCCAGGAACCCATTTTCACAGCCACTACGTAATTCGCTGGCAATTTTATTTATTCAGCAGAACTGCCGGATTTAGTCGAAACAGCCAGTTCGCTCAAGATCTTTTATTTTTAAGCCATTTTAGCATGGCATGGAGTTAAAAGCAAAAAAAAAAAAATAAATAAAAATTGGACGTTCAAAGAATATCTAGGAATTAGATCAAATTTCATCATGCAGACTTCGGGGTCCTGAATCTAAAATTTTTTCTTACTATAAACTTAGTGGAGTCTTTAATGGAATTCATACATCATACGGAAGGACATCGAGAGAAGATAATCGAAAAAGGAAAGCTGGAGGAATTGAAACACATTATGGATTTCGGAGGGTCTTAAAGAAATGGGAGCGATTTTCTGCTGATTTTGGAGCAATATCGACATTTTTCATACGCCGACCATTTTTTATGCAGATTTTTTTTTTTTTTATCTAGCATTCTCTACAAAAATACAGGCCATTTGTTTAATAGAAGTCCGTATATTTCAAGAAAATATACACATGATCAGAGAGGCAATCACAAAGGGAAAAAATCTGTGAAAATATATAAAAATCATTTTGGATTTTTTGCTGATATCCTAAAATTTGAACTTTTTTTGATCAATGAACTCTGAATCTTTAAAGAAAAATGCCAAATGCAAAACACAAACCAAATAGATTTTGTGAGTCAAATGTTTTACTAAACAAAGATAAAATACACTTCGTAATGAAATTATTCCTTTTAAGTGAAGTAAGTGATTCAGTAACTAGTGATCAATAATGACAATGTAATCTACATTTTTACTGGCATACTTTGTGAGAACTAAATCTCTTCTCATTAAAGCGAAAAGCCAAGTGCGTTGACTGAGCCGTTATTTTGAATTTGGTTGGCAATGTCGGCGCTTGGTGAAATGCGAAAATGAGAAAAAATAGATTATATACAAATAGTATTTAACTTGGACTGTGATATAAAAAAAAGATTTAAAAAAAAAAAATAAATAAATACAATAAATAATTAAAAAAGACTAAATATACATATAACTAGCTCATATTTTTAAGGAGGTAAAATAAAAAAATGAAAAAATTATATACAGGAAAGTGCCTTAGAATTACTAAAAAAAAAGACTGAAAATCTATGTTGTAAAAAGAAATTCCATTAAAAGATATAAAGTTCAAATCTATTCATGGGAAGAATATTAAAAATAAATATTGAAGCAAGACGAAAAGTCCGGATTGGGCGATATTTAAAAATGGAAATAAATTTATAAAAGAAAAAATATATATTCAAGTTGGGAGATAAATACTTTGAAGGACAAATTGGATAGTGTAAATATCGCATACTCCTACATATTTGGATGAGGAATGCAGCCGCATGTTCCTGTCAATGACCTATGGTGTTTTTAGAATAATCCTGGAAAAATAGATGAATGCTGCCTAAGGACATTTAGGAAATTATGCCGAATAAAGAATATTACGAAATACTGGGAATGTTGATTGAATTTGAAATCTTGAGTTTCCGTACCATTTTGTTATGCAACGTCCAACAAAATATTTTAATAGAGTTATTTAAAATCGAAATCAAGAATCCATAGGTATTCTTACAAACTAGGGTGGCAATATAGACAATTAATTCAATATTAAAATTAGAAACTGTATCAATTAAAAATAAATAATAATCCAAAAAACTATGGGAATTCCAAATCCTGGATTATTACGTCCTGAGGATGCAACTCATGAGGGATCCTTGTGAATTTTGAATTGGAAACCATTGAGGAAAATACAGCAACAGCGAGGAAGCGACGAGAATGAAATGCATGGTTCGGATCATTTTTATTGACAATTTAAATCTGTGATTTTTCTATCTACAACATTTCGAAAGTCATCTTTATAACTGCCAGCGGAAAATTGAATATGCAGAATACTGGATTTTCTTCCCGAAAAAATGTTTGCAGATCTCTGACCTCTTTACCAAGTGCTTACATCAACTTTAACTGGCTGTATTCAACATTCACAGGAGTAAAAACGAAAATTATGAGGGTCTTCTTGGCTGAATATGGTTGAAAGGTAAT